AGAGAGAGGAGAGAGAGAGAGAGAGAGAGAGAGAGAGAGAGAGAGAGATTTGAGTAGCTGCATCAGAAATGAGCTCCTGAACAAAAAGAGAAACTGGTAAGATAGCAGGGTTTCCCACACATAGACTTTACTTGGGCAGGTATATTAACGGCCGCCAAAGTATAATTCGCGAGCCATTTAGGTTTAATTTTTTTAATCTGTCCGCGAGTACGACGGCATCTGCGATCCCTCGCTCTACCCCTCGCTGTCGCGTGAAGGGTCTGCTTTATGCGCTCCGCACAGTAACCCTGCTGCGAGGCTCCAGCGAACAGTTCATGAGCGTGCTCACTAGCAGGGCCGGTCCTTGGCATAGGCAGTATAGGCGAATGCTAAGGGCGCATCAATCAATGGGGGGCGCCGAAAAAAAAACATTCATTTCATAACAACACGATTTCCCGATTTTGGATCAAAGTACGTCTTATTGTCTTATACTAACAGAACTACGCCTATATTGCGTACAGCGCCCATAAACTATTCCACCTAGAAATGTTTGGTTCTAAAAACATTCATTGTTCTAAGAATGTTTTAACTTCAATATTAAAAAAAAAAAAAATCTTCCCGGGGGAACATGCCCCAGACCCCCCTAGAGGAGGTGAGGTCCACCCCCCACTTAAATCCTGTTCAAATGGATAGGATACTAAATACATTTACACACATCTTGTGTCCATATCTTTCTGTTTTGGTGGTCATGCCACAACCGTGCATGCATGCGCAAGTCATAGTGAGTGTCTGCATTTTGGGGGGGGGGGGGCGCCAGCTAAAATCTTGCTCACTAGCGCACCTCCCCACCTCCCCCCGTTCATAAAGTCAAGTACCCCTCAAAAGGTCCGGTTTATTTCATTTTAAGGATGCGCACCAAGCAACATCTCCAGGTGCTCCTTTGAGAACCAGGGCAAAAAAGTTATGTGCACCCCTGGTTTTAAGTGTAATTTGGCTTGGCTTCCTATTTTTTATGGACATGCTTTTATTTTGAAGGAGAGTTAGTGCTGTTGACAGGAAGTTGTTGTTGCTATGGAAACAACGTGACGGAGATTAACGGAGAAAAGTAATATCTACATATAAAGATGGAGAAAGTAAACAATGAAGTTTATGTTTAAGTGTTAGCACCCCCCGAAGAGGCACAAGCTCTTACGTTGATATTGGAGATTTCAATAAATTCAATAAAATAAAAAAAAGAACAAATATCCGAATAACGAAATTGAAACCCGAATAGTACTCCAACGAACGAATATTTGCATATTCGGGTACAGCCCTAGTGGGTGGGTGGGCAGAATTGTTCCTACCTGGACCCGGGCCTCGGTGAGCTTGGTCCTCTGGGCCAGCTCCTCCCTTGTGTAGATGTCGGGGTAGTGGGTTCTCTCGAAGGCCTTCTCCAGCTCCTCCAGCTGCTCCGCTGTGAAGGTGGTCCGACTCCTGCGCTGCTTCCTCTTCAGAGGGAGGTCCGGCTCCGACTCCACATCGGACACCTCCTCCATCCGACTGCCTGGACACACACATGGAGGAGACACACATTAGTTCCGTGTTCGGCAGGTAGAAGTGATGCTTACTATATTCTCTTGCTTTCAACTCACATATAAAAACGTCAAAATACTCCATAAAGACAATGAGCTTCAACGCTGGGAATCTACTGATTCCAGTATCATTGCACATCACTGATCGTCTGTTTGTGGATCTTTTGAATTGAAAGCAATGCAGTTATTTTAGATGGTTAGTAAACACAAACTTTTCTGAGTGTGGAATGACCTGTATTTTATTTATATGGTCAGTTATTTTAGATAAGGACCCAAATATCTTTGGAAATCGTTTTTTCCGAGACACAAATGGCTTCTAACCTTTTGGTACATTTATTTTGTTGTCTCTGCAAAAACTAGGCGTACAATGAGATATTTCATGGAACATTTTAATTCACATTTCAAAAATGATAATATGTGATGTATTAATTCAACTTTACACCTAAACAGACAGCTATATAGTACCTGACCAGGAGCCATGTTTGTTCTGAGAGCTGTTTAATGTAACTTCAAAATATTTGATTCATATCCGCAGTTCCTTTTGGTTTTATTGCCTATCAATAACAAACTCAGAGGCAGTGATGCAGACTTTCTCAGTAGGCATGTTCACATCTTCTTCCAGAGACAGAGTGAGGCAGGAGGAACAACTGATGCTTCAAACGGCCCAGCCTGCAGAGAATCCTCTGTGTGGTTATTTATATGACAAAACAATTTTCTGTGCTTGCTAAGTACCATTCTATATCAAAACCTGCATATCCCAGCATCCCTCAGGGCACAGTGCTGAGTGTAAAAGTGGAATGAGGGGTGCTAATCTCTGCAGACCACCTTGGTTTTGTATGTAGCACCATTCTTCATGTTGAGCCTCAGGGCAGCCCAGACAAACACACTGGCAGGATGAAAATAGTCCCAAAATATTTATTTTACAGCTCATTTCACTCACACACATGTGTCCAGGCTGCTGTTCAGGAGGAGCCATGGAAGATTATCTGATGAATGTACATATATATTTCAAATGGAGCTACCCAGCTAGCAGGGAACGTTCTCACAACTATGGCTAACGTTACCTACAGGTTCTAATAATGTTTTAAAGAAACATTTTAATCTGATGTTCAAATAACCTTTTTAGGATGTTTGTTATTTCAAATAATGTTCCTATTAGGTTTAAGGTTAACTAAGACATAACGTTTTAACTGCAACATTCAGAGGATGTTTTGAGGATGTTATTGAGGCCTGAGATGACAGAAAGTTTTTTATAAAACGTTCCTTTAATGTGACAAAGGTGGAACGTTTTGCCTGCAACACTCAGATGTTCTTTTATAAAACATTCCCTCAACCAGGGCTCGACATTATAAATGGCCCGCTGGCCCGGAAGCACTATTTAGACACCCCGGGCCAGCATAGTACTTTCCACTTGCCCGCCGGGCCACAAAAAATATTGCTTTAAAAAAAAAAAATGTTTCCTGTGGTATTGGTATTTTGACTAGCAATTTTGTTAAATTGTTTCGTTTATTAACGCTACAACATAGCGTTTCGTGAGTCGGTTGTCGTTGTTGGGTGAAAAGCAAACAGCTGTTTGCTGCGGAGCGCAGCGCGAGCAGGCTCCAGTGAGCGGGAGCGTGCTCCTTCTTCACAGTCTATCGCGCCACCTAACCATTCGCCAAAATGTTTTTAATACGAGCGGTAGCCGGGCAGCCGGGCAAAACACAATCTTCTAATCAAAGAAAGTCACCGGAGGAGTTAAAGGAGAGTGACAAGGAGCATGAGAAGAAGAGGGAGAGAAAGTTTCAGCCAGCTTGATCGATGGAGTTGGCTTCTAGTGGTGCAGTGACGCATCCTAGAACCCTTTTATAATCTATCGATTAGATTTATGATTCGAACATTATAAAAGTAGGGTAGACATATCCGGCTGAACAAAACTTGCATTTATCAAACAGGTTTGTTTTCCACAGACCTTATTTCCAGCTATTTTCCAAAACCCTGTGGAGAAATCCCATTGCTTTTTGTCGAGGGAACCAGCAGCTTACTTCCTGGTTTTAGGATGCGTCACTGCACCTCTCTATCTGATGCCAATATAAACAAGGTCTTCTGTCGGCTCTGTACATCAATGCCGACCTATGCTGACAAGTAAGTGAAGAGTAGAAAATATAAAGGAAGGGCGAAATGTCCCAGCAGTTTAGGATAATGAAGGTTCTAATCTAATCAATTACATAGCCATTACATTTCTAACTCCTAATGACAGGAAGGCAGAAAGCGCATTATACAAATAATAATACTAATAATAATAATAGCAGACATTTTTTAACAATGACCACAATATCATTATTTTAATAAACCAAATAGTGGAATTGTACCCTTAATTGTACCCTTAATTTTACCCTTAATGTCTACCCCTGCCTCAATGTTACATGATAACAAAAGAAGAACATTTTCAAAGCAACATTCAGAAAATGTTTTGAGGATGTTATTGAGGCCTGAGATGACAGAACGTTTTTTATAAAACGTTCCTTTAATGTGATATGCTAACAAAGGTGGAACGTTTTGCCTGCAACATTATGAGGATGCTTTTTGGACGTTGTTGGGGTAACATATTATAGATGTTCTTTTATAAAACATTCCCTCAATGTTACATGATAACAAAAGAAGAACATTTTCAAAGCAACATTCGGATAATGTTTTCAGGAGGTTATTATTTTTTTACAAAACGTTCCTGTGATGGCAAATATTAACACGGTCATGGTCAACGTCAGATTTATTTCTAGAGCGCTTTAAAAAACAAACTTGTTGCATTTGTTTGAAAAGGATGTTTTAGAAAAAATCTGATGTCACCATATGTTCATTTTGAAAAAAACAACCAAGCACGTAATTCATGATAAGCTGTAAGCAGATATTGCATGTTTGCGGTGGCATGTGTGAGTTCCCAGCTAGACATTTTTGGTTCTAAAAACATTCTGAGAATGTTACCATTCACTGTTATATATCACACAGGCTCCGCCCTCTACTGGACTCTATGGGTACTACTCTCTATCATGCTGTACGTGCATTCACCTACTGAGTTACGTAAACGTAGCCGGCCAATCGGGGCGAGCCTACCTGAATGCGCGTGCAGGCCCACAGTATATAAGGTGGCTACGCCCTCCGACCGTCATCCTACACCCTCTTCAGCGAGCGGCATAGGAAAGACAGGGCCCCCAGTTAGAGGGCTCCGCCTGTGCTTATATAACTAGGGTTACAATACGTAACCCCTCGTTATATATCACACAGGCTCCACCCTCTACTGGACTCTATGGGTACAGTGGGTGGAGCCCCGATGTATAAACGCCCTGTCGTCCAACAACATCAACCCATCACACTGCCCCTGACCGGCTTTTGGCTAATATCCAAACTGTGAGTTTTTATAGTTGCATTTCCATGGTTCAACTACGGTTAGCTTAGCTAAATTCCCTCTCAGAGTGGGATTGAGTGAGTGAGTGAGTGAGTGTGTGAGAGAGAGCGAGTTGTATATTAGGTTGTACTGACACGTATTTCTATAATTTTTCAATGAGTGAGGCTAGGCTAGGCTAAATAAAATAAACACATTTATGTTTGTATATGCCTTAATGCTTTGCTGTAAGGCCAGTCAGGCTCAAGGACTGAGACAACAGGGGACAGAAAGAGAGGCACAGAGAGACATACAGGGAAAAAGTCAACAAGAGCCTCAGGGAGAGACACAACGAGAGGCACAGTTGGAAAGTGTAGAGAGACAACAAGAAGCAAAGGGAAAGAGAGAACAAGAGGTACAGTTAGAAGCAGCACAGGGAGAAGCACAGACAGGAAACCAGGTAGGACAACTGAAAACCAGGACCGCAACAGCCCATACTGTGGACTCCTGGGGATATGACTGGCTCTGCTATGAAAAAGAAAGCGGTATCATTACCCAAATCTGGTGTAGCATATGTAGGGACTACTACAAAAGGAGTCAGGGAAAGGGTCCTTTGCACACAAGTCAAGAAACCATATATTTCAGGGACTACAAATGTTAAAAAAGACACTGCCAATACACACAAGTCGAAACCCCATGCTACAGCATGTCAAGTTTTCACAGCCCCAACAGTTACCATGACTGAGAGTGAGACAGTGCAAAATCTACAAAAGCTACATGATAAGACCAAAGACAAGATGTGCAAGCTATTTGATATAGCATATACTGTGGCTTACTGTGAGCAGCCTTTCCGCCTGTTTAAAACCTTAGTGTCCGTGGAAAGGAAGCATGATGTGGAGCTGGGGGTGACGTATCATAACTCAAGAGCCTGTCGCATCTTCATAGAGCACATTGCGGGGACCATGAGAGACCATCTTCATGCTTTGGTAAAACATAAGCCATTCTACTGCTCATTGCTCTTTGATGGAAGCATGGACAAAAGCATATCAGAGAAAGAGGTGGTCAGCATCAAGTTAATTGAAAATGGCACACCAAGAATCAGACTACTTGGGTAAGAAGTACATTTTTATTCTTCACATTCATGTGTTTGGATAATTTTGTTTTGGTATGTTTTTGATATCAAGCTTTTGTATTTCTGTAGTCAACTCTCATTTCCGTTGAATACAATAAGAGCTGCCACTCAGCGTGAAACTATTTAAATAACTTTATGTAAATAATTGTTTTTATTTTTGTGTGTGTATGTTTTTGCTTTTCAGTTTACAGAGCCAGAGTCCTGTGATGCTGCGGCAATACTGAAGGCCATTAGAGAAATGTGTAAGGAGAACCATCTTAACCTCAGTAACTGCTTGACTGCAACAGCAGCTGATGGGGCTTCTGTCAATTGTGGGACGACAAACGGTGTCCTTACTTAAAATATTTTGTGATGACCTTCTTGGTCAATGTTTTTGATAACATTGTTCGAACATTATGCCCTACTATTCTTAAAACGTTTTCAGCGGGAAGTTTTATTTTGGTTACTAGAATGTTCTTCTGAAAGATAGGATAACGTTCTCT